GTCGTCTGGGTAACCTCCACTGTACCATAATCCCACACTGGATCGACACTATTTTACAATACTGACACGGCGGCCTTATATAAGTCGCTTTTGCGTCATTACACGACCTACCTAGGAAGGAGTCATGATGCAACAGCTATAATATAGATGTCGGGTCAGTCCTTCTCCGTATCTTTCAAAAGGTGAAATTTGGAGATGCCTTTTGAATGGCATTTCAGTGATATGCCAGACAAAAATGTTTTTTTTTTATAGAAACGCCATTTTTTATGCGTTTTTGCAGCTATGCAATGCAAAGACGCGTATTGACGAGGGGTTGTCTGTGTGTCCGTGTGTCTGTGTGTGCCTGTCCCGATTTTTCATCTCAAAACCTATAAAAGCTGCAGGCCTGAAACTTTGGGAACTTGATCTACATGCACGTATGGGCCCGCCAAATTACGGGTAAGTCCATAACGGGTAAGGGTAAGTCCTATTTCTATGGGTAAGCCCATAACTCGAGGATCTGAGAAGATAGAAAGCTGAAATCTTAGGGTGATGTTCCCCGTCAAAGTACGTATTAACGAGCTCAAACCCAGCTCCCTGACATGCGTGGCACCCGCGTACGGGCCTGAAAAATTTTTTTCGGGTAAGTTCATAACTCGAGGATCTGAGGCGTTAGAAAGCTGAAATCTTAGGGGGATTTTCCCCGTCCAAGCGGGTATTAACGAGCTCAAACCCTGCCCGCGGGTGAGCGTGGTACCTACGTACGGACCCGTGAAGGTTTCTTTCGGGCAAGGTGCTAACTCAGGAACGTGAGAAGCTAGAAGACTGGAATTTTGAAGGAATGTTTCCTGACAGTCCTGGCGGCCAGTCTGAAATTTCTTTTAGCTAGAAACATCTGCCAGAAAAACCAGTGCCGTTAGCGACAAGCGGGAAGCTATGCAAAAAACGCATCTTCGCACGGGACAGCCCGTGCGTTGGTCAATTATGTTAAAATAGTAATTATTTTTATTTTGTTAGGAAATCAGGAAATCATGAAAATTACCTTTATTGAAAGCAGTGATAAATCATTCAAATGTCGAATTTTTGCAGGAAACTCAATCGTTTACGAAAAGATGCCTTACCAACCGATAGTGGTGTTCGTACCCTGTTGCACTTATTACGATCCGAACCAATGACATCACTTATGTCGGATTGGACGAGTCTGCCTTTGCTCGACGATAATGGCGAAAATGAAAATGAAGATGGTGAACCAGGTCTCTGTTTTAATTTAAATAAGAGAACTACCGAGAATTACCGGGAATGGCATCATTACCGAGAATTTATAATTTTTGGGAAGTGTATTTATTCTAGTTTATTCAAGATATGGGGATTTGCAGTTCATTTTTTATCCGGAATATAGGGGTTTTTTTTCCCTGTAAAGGGTATTTTTTTTGTTGGATTCTATGATTTAACAGTTATTGCCCCTCC